CTAGGGGGGGGGGGGAGTCGCACTACTGGGTAGGGCTTGGCCAAATCCGTTCCTGGGGAAGTTCCCATCCCACTTTTTCTGAATTTAAGAGAGTGAGGCAGTGAAGTGCGAATAGTGCCTCTTTGATGTTTCTGTGATATCCCTATCCAGGGCCTCACAATACCTCTTGGCAGTGTTTGGCCAGATCCACCCCTGGGAAAACTTCCAATCGAATCTGGCTCCAATTTTAAATAGTGAAGCAACCATGGGTGCCTTTACAATTTTAACGCCATACATTTATTGTCACGGGTTTTTCCTGTTTTCCTACCATTTCCAGCTCCTTCTCTCAGGGCCGTTTACAAATCCTCAGCTTCTCAAATCATGAAAATCGTACTCATTACCAATCGATAATTTGAGAGAATTATAGGTATTGGAGAAAGATGTCAACATAAATGTAAGCAGTAGTTGTGCAAAGGTGTTAGCAAAGCTGGCTGTAAGCATGCGAACAGATTTTGCTCCAATGGTTCCAAAAGTAAGTGAACTATATTCTTTCGCTCTTCTACACTCCTTATCCCGGAAAGGGAGGGGCGTGGCTGCGTACGTTATTCGAATGTGACGAAGACAAGACGGCAGCGCTCCTGATGGGATATTGCCGTTCTGAAACAAGTAATCATTTCTTTTTCTGGTACAAAACATGATGATAGTTGTCTCAAACGGGAATATCCGTCGAAAAAAAAATCACACGCCATGTTCAGCTGAAGTATGCAACCACGCCCTCTCCATCTCTGGGATATCGAGCGTATATGTGCACATCGCAGTGCATTTCGAATTTAGATTGCCATTTCAGGTCATGCCGGTAGCGTTTGATAAGTTGAAAGAGAAAAAAGCAGTGTTACGAAATGAACTGGTTGAGTTGTGCGATGCGGCTGCGACTACGGTACTATCTGTTTATGCATACTTTTTGGAAGGCACATTCCGCGATGACTGCATGGGTGGAGTCATTTTGACACTTGCACTTTCCTTATGGGTGAGCACCCTCTTCATGCTGTATTAGAGAAGGGATGCCCATCGACGAGAAAGGCGCACTTGTCCCTACTATTCCACCCAGCGGGGAATGCTCCATTAGTCCCTGCGATCCCACCCAGCACTGAATGTTCCATTAGTCCTTGTTCAGACTTCTCTCGAGAACTATACAGAAGCGGTTTGTGGTGGGCTAACCAAGCCAAATCCACAGTCACGTGCTCAAACAGCGTTATTCGTCGCTCGACTGCTTTCACGGCATGATTCCACCACAGTCCCCGTTCCTGCTATCAAACAGATTACTCCAGATCTTGTCAAGGTATTTCTCATTTTAGTTTTTAGTTCTGGTCTCTCGGAATTTTTTACACAACGGTTCTAGTGCTCTTCCGATGCCGATGCGGAAGTGCGGGAGTCTACATTCCGAGCAATGGGTGCTATCTTACGATGTCTTGGCGAACAAGCAGCACGAAGGTTGTTTGGTGAACTTTCAGAGGATAAAATAAAGATGGGCAAGGTTAGGAAACATATTTATAATCAGAATTTGACGAAACTGACTAATCATGAATTCAGCTCGAGTATTTAGATCACTGAGAATTTCGAGAAAATTCGGGAAGAATTTGGCGATAAAGCTGCTCCAGAAATCATTCGATTGCATGGGGCAGAAGCTAAACCAAAGGTAGTTTATCTTTATCAAAACTTTAGCACTTTTTGAGGCCGTTGAGACTGCAGTATTCTTTGCCGATAGCCTGATTCTCGTCATTCAGCATCGCTGTTATTTCAGCACTAGGGCAGTGTTCAGTTTTAGTAGAATTTTTGCAGTTTCAAAGGTAGATATCTGGATTATCGGATGAGCGGAGACTCATAACCAATGCAATAACCCTCCTTTTTGTTGCTTTCCTTCTTCTAATAAGGCGGAAGGGGCCCGCAATTGGTGTATGTTCATGCATGGTAACGAGCCCACGCCCACCCGAATATTGCGAAATGGGTCTCTAAGCAAAAAGTTGGAAAAGGTTATCAGAAAGAACCTAACCAATGTGCAAGTGTTTTCAGCCTTCGCAAGCATCAACTGCGTCAACGAGAGTGTCTTCGGCCTCAGCGGCAACACGGGGAGTATCGCCTGCTCCTCGCCTTCCTACTCGCCCAGCTAGTTCAGCTTCTCGACCGTC